CATTAACTAAAATATGTGTATTAAATATTAAACTAATTTCTCATACATCTATGCAGTCCATTCACAAACATATCTATAATAAGCAAACAAATATACAAATAACTTGCATGTATATGATTATTATTTATATCGTTGTTGTGAAGTTAATGTTGCTATTGTGATGCAACCCACTTTACACAGGACTGATAAAGATGTAGCCCTCTATGCAAAAAGCTTACCCTTTCCTGATTTAGACGGTTGTCTGTGCATAACAGACACAATGCGGATGCCAGAAAGAATAAGAAGCAACAAATAAGATGAAAGATAAGGCAAGCCAAAGAAAGAAACCAAAAATGATTAGATATGCTAAAAATCTGTGCACTTTTTGTCTGACTGAGACCAATAGAGGCTTATAAGCCATACTCTTGGAAAACTTTTCCTATTTAAACTTTTTATTTTTTATCTATTCCCATTTGTAGCCTGCAATATTAGCTTGGATTTCAGCAGACTTTGGCAGAAATATATCAATAGTTGGAACCTGTGTCCATCTTCAATGAATGAATGAATAAATAATAGAACAGGTCAATAGACAAAGAGTCTCGGAACTGAACCGAGATGAATTCTGTAAAAGAACTTTGTGCAGAAACCTCTTAACAGCAAACATACATGTATATACATTTACAGAATTATTGTATTATGAGGCACAAATGAATGTTTTGTTTGAAGACTGACTTACTTCTGAGAAATTCAACTGGAAGTCTGTGCTTTTATTATTGGTACTCAGGAATTCTGTTTGTATAAAATAAAGAAAGTGGGTGTTGGAGAAATCTATAATAAACAGTTATAGAGCAAGCATCTAAATGTCTTTATTACAAGAATCAATAGTAGAAATTCTATTATACAATTCAACCTTCTCCTATCTACCATGTACCTACTTTCAAATCTAACTTGTAATTCATTTCAAATACGTAAGATTAAATAGAAATGGTTCAACCAGTGGGATGTTGTTATTTTGTTCAAAAAGTGAATTGTGATAAAACTCACATCTGAGCATTATTTACATGTGGACTATTGTCTTCATCTTTGTTAATGTTATCATGTTTGGAACCTCTGGCCATCTTCAGCTTCATATCAATCCAGGTAACCTACAGAGAATTTTGAACTGAACCCTTGATTTAATCTATGGGCATAGATTGTTCTTGTTCCACTGGTAATGTCTAGGGATATATTTTCTAGTTCATATTTAGTACTGTTCAGTTATTGCTCACCTGGTTTCTCCTGAGTTCAAGTATACACTGCCCAGTTAAGAGATTGAATTCAGAATTATTAGCAACTTGAAAGATTTGAAAGCTGAGATCAAATTACAGCCTGGTTCATTGCATTTCCTTATGTGCAAGTATACTACCTCTTTGCCCAGCTATGGGTTAAATAAGAAAAATCAGTGTTATTCTAAAAAAAAAAATTGTTAATTCATTATTTTCTGTCAAAAAGAGAATTATTCTTACAATCTAAGATGTTTCAGTTTTAAATATGCTAGAAAAGATTAAAAGCCATAAAAACAAATCAATCTAGTATTGTTATATGTTGTGTGTTAGAAGTCAATTACATGGTGCTAATTATGTTGTACTGGAGATGTTTTTTAGTAACTAGTGTCAATTTGATACTAGAATTTATTAGTGGTAGAACTCAGAGAATTTACACTTTGGTACACCATCTTAGACATTTTTTAAGGTCTGCCATTCATTGTTGCATTTAATATTGCTGTCACATCTTGTCTGGTGCTTCTGCTATATATTTATAGATTCTTAATAAAATACTGTAGTGAAAGAGAAAATGACCTACCTTGAAAAAGAGTTCATGTTTTGTATGTGGTCTGCCAAAGGAAAAATAAAGAAAATTGTTAGCAAAAACCTGCCACTTTAAGTATCAGAAGAACTATGCTAATGTTCTTTCCTCGCTGACTGGAGTGGCCAATCAGAAAAATCACTCTGTGAATAAAGACTGTTGCTTTGATTAATGAGGGAAGAATGATTTTTGAGCTAGCTGACTGAAAGTGTGTTTCGTCTGTTGTGAGTGGAAGGTTGGATTTTAGACCTTGTTTTCGGTGTTAATTTGCCTGCTGGACTGTTTATGACCACTTTGACATTTGGGCTTTTTGAACACGGATTTGCGATTGAACTTATTGTTGGCACACCTATTTATTCTTACTTATTCCATTGATTGATACTCCAGCAAATACAAAAACGAATGTTCAATGTTACTAGTCTTGATCTGGTTTCAGTCATTTTCCCATTGCATTAACGTAGCTTCCTTGTACTTTTTCTATAAATAATCTCATGGTCAATGAGCTTTGCTCTTGTGTACCTATATATATTTTTTTAAAATCGGTATCACCCCCATCTATCCTAGACTCTATGAATTTAAATACAGTACTAGATTGGCATTTAGGTCTCATCATTTTTTACTTGAAATGGCTAGATGTAATTGTACATTTTTTAACAGTTTCTTCTCTTGCACTTCTCACTTATGGAACTCTTTTCTACTTCTTGCTCTTCAGTCAAGTTCGATCATCAAAAATTTCAATGCAGTGTCAATCATTATATTCTGTCTTAATTCCTGTTCCTTTATTGTTCTCCCTTGTTAATGTTTTCTCTTTCTCATATTCTTTCACACTTAGTAACCCTTTGTGTTTTAGTGGCTTTATTTCCTTGCTTGGGGTTTAAAAATTAAAAACCTATTGTCAACTGTTCTTTATACTGACTTAATCCTGGTTGTGTTGTCAATGATTAAGTGGCAAATCTAGTACTGTCTTATTGGACTTCAGTATTGTTTTATTTTTCCTGTTTTTCCTATACATGAGGATATATAATAGTTAAAGTTTGGATGGGGGAATGACGTCAGCATTGGTAGTCATCATAGTATAGTAATCCAACAGTTTGTAAAACTATAAAAATGCTCTTTCTTTTAGCTACATTTGCCCTGCAATCTAGGAAAATGCCCCTGCTAAAAAAATTTTAAAAAAATGCAGAAATTGCCGTACTAATCACTTTGTGATTTGAAAGTTTATTTTTTCTGTTTTTCTCGTTTAGAAGCAGCTCTTTTTGATTTTTATGTATCCCTGTTGAATTGCATATATAAATAGACAGATCTCACTGCATCTATCTTTCTAACACATATGCACACAGGCTTGGATTCATGTATATTAACATACGTGCAAACACGGTCACATTGAGTGAGAATGACTTGAAAAAATAAGCAAGTGAAAAGAACTCCAGAAAGTGCACCCAAGAAAATATTTTTTTTACTTTCTAAAAGTATTTACCAGAGGGCATGTCTTCAGGCTTATCTCTTCACACATGCTGGCCACAAGAATCTTTATGTAATGTGTTTTTAGATATCTTCTGTTGTTGGCTGAACCAGAATAAAACCTATTGATGGCTGCCTTTTCTCTAGAACCAATGTACAAATTTCTCTTCATGTCACTGGAATTAAAGGCTATTGGTTGAATACTTATATAAGAGGTGTTACATTCAAAGTTCTCCAGATAACTGTCTCTCTCTTTATCCAGCACCTCATTATGGTCTTTCTTTCTTTTTTCTTTCCACCTATCTCTTTCAATCTCTCTCTTTCTCTTTGTTTTTCTTCAAATCTTTCCTTGTCTTCTTCAGTTTTCATTTTTCTTGTAGATCTATTTTTTAGTTTTATTTGCCATTTTTTCTTTTGATCTCCTCTCTTCTTGTTAACTCCACTTCACCTTCTATTTTTTCATTATCATATTTTTCCAATATCTCTATATTTCTTTGTCATTCATTCTCTAATCACTTGATTTATCCCTTTCTTTATTTCTCTGCCTTTCTTTTTTTCACACTCTCTTCCTATGTCTTGATAATTTCTCTCCTTGTTTTTCTTTCTTTGTCACTTATTCCTTCAAACATTTACCACTTTCTTCATGGGTACTTCTGATTTTTCATCTGTCTTTCTTTCTTTCCATCTGTCTTTCCGCATTTCTGTCCATCTTTCTTTCCATCCTTCTATCTTTCTGCATTTCCTTTTTCCCACTTTTCCTTCTTTCTTTCTTTCTGTCTTTCTTTCCGTCTTTCTGTCTTTCTTTCCGTCTTTCTGTCTTTCTTTCCGTCTTTCTGTCTTTCTTTCCGTCTTTCCGTCTTTCTTTCCGTCTTTCTTTCCGTCTTTCTTTCCGTCTTTCTTTCCGTCTTTCTTTCCGTCTTTTTCTTTCATTCTTTCCGTCTTTTTCTTTCATTCTTTCCGTCTTTTTCTTTCATTCTTTCCGTCTTTTTCTTTCTTTCATTCTTTCCGTCTTTTTTTTTTCTTTCATCCTTTCCATCTTTTTTTCTTTCTTTCATCCTTTCCGTCTTTTCTTTCTTTCATCCTTTCCGTCTTTTTCTTTCTTTCATCCTTTCCGTCTTTTTCTTTCTTTCATCCTTTCCGTCTTTTTCTTTCTTTCATCCTTTCCGTCTTTTTCTTTCTTTCATCCTTTCCGTCTTTTTCTTTCTTTCATCCTTTCCGTCTTTTTCTTTCTTTCATCCTTTCCGTCTTTTTCTTTCTTTCATCCTTTCCGTCTTTTTCTTTCTTTCATCCTTTCCGTCTTTTTCTTTCTTTCATCCTTTCCGTCTTTTTCTTTCTTACTCATTTCTCAATACATTTATCTTATGCCTTTCTTCATTTCTTTTTTTACATTCTCTATTTTTTTCATTTTTTCTCATATATTCCCTTAAACATTTAAATTCTTCCTTTTCCGTTTTTTTCCATTACTTACCTCCTTTCTTTATTTCTCTTTGCTTCTTTCTCTAAATCTTTAACTTCGCTCTTTCTATATTTCTTTACATTTTCTACTTATTACTTTCTTTCTTATTTACTCCTTTTAAACATTTAATTTTCGTCTGCCTTCATTTCACTCTCTTTCTTGCTCTATTTTTTACAATGTACCTATTTCTTTATAATTTTCCCTCTTTATTTTTATTGTTTCCCCTCCTTTGTGTTTCTTTCCATTTTCCTTCCTGAAAATGTTCACAGCTCTTGCTATCAACATTTTTCAAAACATACACACTGAAACATATCTTCAGTATTTTGTTTACTTCATTAATTTCTTCTTTTATATGCTGTGTCCCGTCAGTCGATAGGTCATCATGGCTCTTCACTCCCCCCCATCCTTTGTAGCTCTCAATATGTTTTGTTGTTTTGCTACTTCTCCCAAACCCTGTTCTGTCATACACTTGCTTAAACCTGCTAGGTATGACACACATTACTTTCCTTTATCTCTCTTACCCTCTATCCACCTTATGAGTATCAGATTCTCCAATCCTTCCTTTCTCATTCTTATTTCTGCAGCTGCTTGATTTTAGTGTCCCTGACCTTTAAATCACATTTTGGGCTCATTTCTTTTACTGATGTCCATGCATTCTGTCTTCTTGTAGTTTATTCTTTGTCCCTTCACTCTCCTTTGCTATCTTCTGTAGGAGTTTTTGTAATTCCTTTATATCACTGTTCCTTTCTCTATCTATATCTGTTCATATCTATCTATCTATCTATCTATCTATCTATCTATCTATCTATGTTCATATCTATCTATCTATCTATCTATCTATGTTCATATCTATCTATCTATCTATCTATCTATCTATGTTCATATCTATCTATCTATCTATGTTCATATCTATCTATCTATCTATGTATCTATCTATGTTCATATCTATCTATCTATCTATCTATCTATGTTCATATCTATCTATCTATCTATCTATGTATGTTCATATCTATCTATGTATGTTCATATCTATCTATCTATGTATGTTCATATCTATCTATCTATCTATGTATGTTCATATCTATCTATCTATCTATGTATGTTCATATCTATCTATCTATATCTGTTCATATCTATCTATCTATATCTGTTCATATCTATCTATCTATCTATATCTGTTCATATCTATCTATATCTGTTCATATCTATCTATCTATCTATATCTGTTCATATCTATCTATATTCCTAATTATCTGTGTTCATTTCTATCTATCAATCCCTCTATCCTCTCTCTCTCGTTATTTCAGTCTGCTCATTTCTATCAATTTTTCTAACTCTTTCCATTTTTATCTCAGTCTGTTTGCATATATATATATATATATATATATATATATATATATATATATAATCACAAAAATGACTTTATCTTTTTTTATTTTCTTATTAAAAATTAAAATTTGTTGTAAATTATAATGTATCACTCATTTCATTTTTACAAACAATTCTTTTTTGTTTTCTTTTCAGGTAAGTGTCTTTCATCACTTAATAAAAAGTTCATTTGTGGGAGACTCACAAGTCAAGAGGTAATGTTCATCAGTTTGAAAACTTTTGCCATATTCATTCTTCAGATTTAAGTCATTCATAAGTTTATCTTCCATGTGTGTGTAGAAAATAACCAAAAGAGGTGTAAAGAAAGAAATATACTTGAGGTTCCACCTGATATAAAATCTACCTTTTTTACAAGAATTTCAGTAACAAAAGAGAGAACGTTGAGTGTATATTGATTTTTCACTCTTTATTCAAAGATGTCAAGGCCTTTTTCAGGATCCATAATTAGATGTATTTGAATTTTTTTGTATACTTACCAGTGTATTTGTCTATCTTTCTATCATATCATTCATTGTTATCATTGTGAGATATTTGTCTTCAGTGAACACAAATTAAGATATGCCTCACTAAGTGAAGAAAAGTTATAGTCTATCTATCTTCTCTTCTTATCTATCTTCCTATCTATCTTCTATCTATCTTCTCTTCTTCTTCCCATCTATCTTCTCATCTCATCTCATCTATCTTCTATCTTCTTCTTCTTCTTCCTATCTTCTCTTCTATCTCATCTTCTCTTCTCCTATCTATCTTCTCTTCTTATCTATCTTCCTATCTATCTTCTCTTCTTATCTATCTTCCTATCTACTCTTCTCTTCTCATCTATCTCCCTATCTTCTCTTCTCATCTATCTCCCTATCTTCTCTTCTCATCTATCTCCCTATCTTCTCTTCTCATCTCATCTATCTCCCTATCTTCTCTTCTCATCTCATCTATCTCCCTATCTTCTCTTCTCATCTCATCTATCTCCCTATCTTCTCTTCTCTCTCATCTATCATCTATCTTCTCTTCTCATATCATCTATCTTCCCTCTCTCATCTCTCTCTTCTCATCTCATCTATCTTCTCTTCTCATCTCATCTATCTTCTCTTCTCATCTCATCTATCTTCTCTTCTCATCTCATCTATCTTCTCTTCTCATCTCATCTATCTTCTCATCTCATCTATCTCCCTATCTTCTCTTCTGAGTCGAATGAAGAAAACAGTAACCAGCGAGTAAATTCAAGCTCTCCCAGCTGGTATTTCAACCTTGAGTCGTTCCTTCTTGAGTTCTGTCTCCAAATCACACTAACTGCCCGTTCTTGCCGTCATCCGTGAACGTCCCTTGAAGAACTCCCCGACTCGGAAAAAAGTAGTTGCTTTTATAGTTGTTCATATACCCATAATCCCTTGCGTCTTCACGTGATCCCATAATTCATTGCGTCCATGTCCCATAATGCATTGCATCGTTATTGCATAAAAATGTGATGCCAGTCCCCCCTCATTCTTTTACGTTATCTGGCCGAGGATGGATTTCGGCAGAGCGGTATGTGCTTTTTTTTCTCTCCCTCATTTCAACTGCAGTAGCTTTACATGCTAAGAAAATACGGGCTCTTTTTTGGCGGGGACAAGGCAAGTCGCGACCGGTTGTGCTCATCCCAGGTTCTGTCTCATGTCCGCCACATCTTCTTATCTAGCTTCCTTTCTTCTATCTTCTTTAGCTGTCTATATCTCTGAGATGAGGTATTATGATTACTTACATTATTTATATTGTTTGGACTGTTATCCTCGTCTTCATTACCATATTCACAACGTTTTGGCTGTTGTATGCTCCGGCCTTCAGGTGATTGGAATTTCAAACCAAACTCTTTATTTTGTCCATGGGGGTAGATTGTTCTAGTTCCACATGACATGATGCCGCAGTCATTTCCCTTTAACTAAACACTCCAAGGTGTAGCCAGATATTGAACTCACAACTCCTTGGGCTAGTCACTGGATCTAACCAACACCATTATCCACTGGGCCATGTGACCTGGTTAAGTTAATAATGTAAATAATATAAGTGATCTATCTTCTTTTCTCTCTTTCTCTATCTTCTTTTCTCTCTTTCTCTATCTTCTTTTCTCTCTTTCTCTATCTTCTTTTCTCTCTTTCTCTATCTTCTTTTCTCTCTTTCTCTATCTTCTTTTCTCTCTTTCTCTATCTTCTTTTCTCTCGCTCTCTCTCTATCTTCTTTTCTCTCTCTCTCTCTCTATCTTCTTTTCTCTCGCTCTCTCTCTCTTCTTTTCTCTCTCTCTCTCTCTATCTTCTTTTCTCTCTCTCTCTCTCTCTATCTTCTTTTCTCTCTCTCTCTCTCTCTATCTTCTTTTCTCTCTCTCTCTCTCTCTCTCTTCTCTTTTTCTCTCTCTCTCTCTCTCTCTCTCTCTCTCTCTATCTTCTTTTCTCTCTCTCTATCTTCTTTTCTCTCTCTCTATCTTCTTTTCTCTCTCTCTATCTTCTTTTCTCTCTCTCTCTCTCTCTCTATCTTCTTTTCTCTCTCTCTCTTCTTTTCTATCTTCTTTTCTCTCTCTCTCTCTCTTTCTTTTTTCTCTCTCTCTCTCTATCTTCTTTTCTCTCTCTCTCTCTCTTTCTCTTCTCTCTCTCTCTCTCTCTCTTCTTTTCTCTCTCTCTCTCTCTTCTTCTTTTCTCTCTCTCTCTCTCTCTCTATCTTCTTTCTCTCTCTCTCTCTCTCTCTCTCTTCTTTCTTTCTCTCTCTCTCTCTCTCTCTATCTTCTTTTCTATCTCTCTCTCTCTCTCTATCTTCTTTTCTATCTCTCTCTCTCTCTCTCTATCTTCTATCTTCTCTCTCTCTCTCTTTTCTTCTTCTCTCTCTCTCTCTCTCTATCTTCTTTTCTCTCTCTCTCTCTCTATCTTCTATCTTCTCTCTCTCTCTCTATCTTCTTTTCTCTCTCTCTCTCTATCTTCTTTTCTCTCTCTCTCTCTATCTTCTTTTCTCTCTCTCTCTATCTTCTTTTCTCTCTCTCTCTATATCTTCTTTTCTCTCTCTCTCTATCTTCTTTTCTCTCTATCTTCTTTCTCTCTATCTTCTTTTCTCTCTATCTTCTTTTCTCTCTCTCTATCTTCTTTTCTCTCTCTCTATCTTCTTTTCTCTCTCTCTATCTTCTTTTCTCTCTCTCTATCTATTTCTGTTCATTTCCCTCTTTTTTGTTTTCTCTGTTCATTTCTATCAATTTGTCTTTCTCACTGTGTTTCTTTTCTATCTGTCTGTTCCCATCTGTCTATCTATCTTAGAGTCAGTGCATCAAATAAACAGTCCATTTATATCTTAGCCAAGGCTAGACATGGGATTTTGCATGTATCATTATGAAGACAACAGAAATTGACATTTGTCTCCCCCATGAGGGCAAATATGATACAGGCTTAAGTTTAATATGTGGCCACACATGTAAAAGTCTGGGTAGAGGGGGGAAATTGTGCAGTGCCTGCAGCCTCTTCTACAGAACTATCAGAATAACCCACAACATTCCTCTTTTAATGCAATATGGATGTGCTGCTCTGGAGTTGGTTTCTTTTGGGATAAGGCATATCTGCATCAATTTTGTGCCATATCTTATTTGAAGACAAGAACAGGCTTGATAGCAAACTCATCAAACCCATCCATCTTACTGCAATGTTAACTTCATCAGTTTCTTTTTACAGTCTTTATGATCATTTATCATTGATACTAACTTAATGTGGCTTAATTGTGATATCAAATTATAATTCTCCATCTTTTTTTTAGTTATTTTGTTAACATGTGTGTTACATTCTGCTAATGTCTTATAAATAATGGACTATTCCGTTTTCAACATAAGGAAAGATGGAAAAGACATATCAGATACGTGGTTTGGTTTCAGTAAGAAAAAAATAAAGATCAGGGAGCTAATAACACTCTGCTGTGTTTAATGTCTGCTTTACTGAAAGGAAAAAATTGTAAAATTAAATACTCCAATCGAAGCAGATGAATATAATGCATTCAAAAGTAAAAGCAATAACAGGAATTTTTCTCTCTGATGAGTATGTAATAAAAGCCTGAGGCAATAATGATGTCATTCCCTCATGGTACCTGTTTCTTTTTCTGTCTTTCTCTCTCATGGTATTCCTCTCTCTTACATTTCCTTTCTTTCTTTGTCACTTTCTTTCCCTGTATCTAGGCTTATGGCCATATCAAGTTGAAACACCAGTTCTCATATGAACATTGAAGTTAAGTAACATTGAGCCTGATCACTACCTAAATGGGTGACCACTTGGAAACACTAGGTGCTGTAAGTTTGAATGTGTAAGTGGTGTAATTAAAAACAACTTCAAATTGTTAATCAAACATCTGTGTTACATTATTAGTTGGGTTCATTATATTTATTTACATGCAAATATCCTTGGGTAAGATATGACTCCACCTCTTCTCTCCCCAGCTATGGATTAATTAGTAATCTGTATTAGAGGAAAAAGTCTTTTTTAATAGTCATGCTGGAAATGCAATTATTCTGTTGTAAATTTAATATTCTAATTTTTATTTCTCTTATGGATCATAAAACATAACTGGCAATTTCAGTTTAAATATTTTCAAAACATTTAAATGTATCTAAATTAAAACCTTTAAATTTCAATTCTACTGTTTTAGTTTGCAATGTATCCCCATATTTTATAATAGAATTCTTCTATGTGCCATATACTTCCCAGGGATATGTCTTTTGTTGATCTAAGTAACTTTTACTCCTACTCTTCTTTGTCATCAGTTCACTGATAGTGTTGTGGTATGCTCCCTCTAATGAGGCTATTGTGGACTCTTCCACTTACTATAAAGTTCATAGGAAAGTTAGCCTCAGGGGAACAGTGATATAGACGGAACGCTGGTAAACCAAAACACACTCCCAAGTCATGTTGTATTTATTGTTCAATACGCTATTCCTCTGCAACCTCCTGTTTTGTTATTTCTTAACCATTACTTGGTTACAACATAAAGAAAGTTAAGTAGTTTCCTCATGCTTCACATGGCTCCATTTTGTCTTGTGAGTTAAATTTGCCAAACCTTGTTTCCTCATTATGTGTCTGTCAGTAACAGTTTATTTGTAGTTTTTGTTCTACTTAAACATTTTTCAATACTCACATGTTCTCTTTTTAATATTTGTTTCTTCAAGCCTCTTGTGAAGAGATTGTCTCATGTTTATTATCATGTAGGAGATTAGATATTAGATTCTATTCCAGTATTCTCTTATTTGTTTCTAAGGGTAATTTTCACCTTTTAATATTTTCCTCAGATTTTGAAAGCAGTAAAGCCAATAAGACAGAAGTAGTTAATTAGTGTGAAAGAATAAGTAAAAAAAAAAAAAGAAACATTATTAAGGAGCAAGAATAAAAGATGACTAATCAAGAGGACAGACAACAGATAACATTTGACATTGATGTCCAAAAATTTAAATGCAAAGTTGGCTGGAAAGTTTTCAACTGGAAGCGAGTTCCACAAGTGAGAAATGTGACAGAAGAAACTTATGGTTACATGTAGCCATTTTAACTAAAATATTAAAATATTGCCACCAATCTAGTACTGAATTGAAATTCATAAATTTTAGATACAAAGATTTCATCCAAAAAATTACCCTGAATGTATTTATAGAAAAGGTACAGTGAAGATATATTATGGCAGTGAGCAACTGACAGAAACCAAGACACCAAATCAGGAGCAGCAATATTACTGATTCTTCTTTGGATTTTATCAAGAATCTCTAAATATACAGCAGAAGCACCGGACCATATATGGCAGCAAATATTCAAAGCCTGTATGACTTATAAATATGTAAGCTTGGATTGAGGAGAGAAAAATTGTCTAGCATGACACGGCAAACCAACTTTCTTAGCAGCAGACCCAGCAAATGGAGTCAAAATAATATTTCCACTTCATGTCAGTCAAGAATGTTAGCTCAAGTAGACACAATGAGTCACTCTCAGGGAGGTTAGTATCAGCCATGATGATGGGAGGCAGAGAGGGATCTTTTAGATGATAAAACTAATTTTTAAATAATTAATGAACAAAAAAAAGAAAAAACCTAAACTTTAATATATGGTTGTCAGCAAAGCATACCCTGATAGGCAAAGCATGTCTTGTAATGTTAGAATCAAGCAAATATAAAAATTTAAATATTGAGGAAGTTTTTATTGAAAATGTAACACCAAAATCTGAACTCACATTGGAATAGAGAAAGATGCCTTCCAAAAGCTAAGCAAAGTATTAATAAACAGGGAAATGTCATTAGAAACAAGGAAAAGGGTGCTGGAATATTGCATAATATGTCCTTTTATATGGTAGAGATTGCTAGACAATCTCCTCACAGATGAAGAGACTTAAAGCAATAGAAATCTAATTCTACAGAAGGGCATTAAAAATATCTTGGATTGAGCAAAATGAACTGAAAATTGAAACTAAAAGGACACTTACACACAACATTAGAAAGAGTTTAAATTTCTTGGGCATATAATGAGAAAAGATGGCTTGGAGAATTTCATATTTGTCGGATATTTTAAAAGTAAAAAGGATAGAGGAAAGCAGTGAATGACCTACTTAACATTGTGTAAGTGGTTGGCAGAAGAGTGACTTGGCAGCATAACAAGATAAAAACTCAGAGCTAGAGATGGCAGTTGTGGCGGAAGTTGTGGAGAGCCATGATTGCCCATGTCTTAAAGGGACACAGCCTAAAGAAGAATAATGACAAAAACAAAAAATATTATACTTTTAAAAAAAGAGTAAATTTGGGTGGGGGAAAATTTTTTTTCGACTAGAGTTCTTTTGATCTATCTCAGGCCATGACACTTGTCAGAATTTTAAAAAAATTAGGTGTCCTATTTATAATACCAACACAGTGTCAAATCAATCCACTGTCTTTCTCCTTCCCTTTGTATTTCCTAATTGCTCCCACTTCTTGGTCAAAATGCAAAACTTATTCTGGCTCAGGATTGGGAGATCAGACAGATACTACACTCTGATCCTTTGTGGAAATGCATAATTCTCATACAAACGGCTGTCAAAAGAAAAAAAGGAAGACTGAAAAATGTCTTGCTTCTGACCTTGTGTACGTATGGTGAATGGGGCAGCACATTAAACCATCCTTGTGTCAAATTTACATTTGTGTGGAGACAGATAGAAATAAGATAAATAAGTAGAATAAAATGTATACAATTGGCATAACACTGCAGAGGATTATGATGATGATGATGTTTGTGTAAACTATGGTTGTCATGACAACTATGATTATAAATATTCACCTTTAGAATCTGAAGAATAATAAGTAAAACTTGGATACTCACTGGCGCCAGCAGGATAGAAAAAAAATCAAGACAGAACCATTTGCAAAATGAACATGTGCATAGATTACATTCATTCAAAGATAATACTGAAACCAAATTAAAAAGAATTTTTACACACACCTATCTATCTATCTATCTATCTATCTATATATATATATATATATTGAGTATTTTGGCAGCAATCACTCTTTTATACATGTTTCAATAAGAATAGCAGACAAGGTATTGTGGTTAAGTTTTTTATTTAATGTTTCTTGTTCTCTTATAACTATTTTCCTTCCTGGACATAAAACTACATCCGCAACATACTTATTCACCATACAAATATAATATTCACATCCACATGTATAAAAAAAATGTTAAAAATAAAAAATAATGGCAGCTTTAATAAAAAAAAAAAAGCCAATGTCAATTTTGAACACAGTCACAATGTGCTGACTGTGTTGGGAAAATAAAACATTCCTATAACTCTAGATACATACATAACAAAAATAATCCTTATATTCAGTTAATACCAAAAATAAAATCATCCTCGATAATGGCTAAAAGGATAGCTGAATGCACTCTGACATGCAGACCACTTGGACAATTTCTACATAATTTATGTCTAGAAAGGAAAATAAAATATAAGAACACAACAAAAATTAAATTATAAACTTAACTATAGTACCTTGTTAGTCATTTTTAACAAAACTTATATATATTTATAGTGCATGTGAAGATTTTAGATATGCACAAACATAAACTAGTAAAACACACTCTTACACACACATACAAAAGTTAAAAATTCTCATAAATGCACACATGAATAATTGGTATAGGTAAAAAGAAATGTATGCATATCTAAACTAGGTGTCCAGATACAAGGGTATACACATATATTCGTATGTACATATGTATTTATTGCATTGAAGATGACTGTCAAGGTACTTCCGTAAAGTTTTTTTTATTGTGTTTTTCTTTTGTATGTACAAGAGATTTGTTTTTGGAACTTTGGCAGAAATTGTCCAAATGAGAGTTCATTCTGAGTGCTTTTGGCTAATCTATTTGCCATTTACAAGGATTTTTGTTTTGCTGTTGCAAAGAAAGCACTTGAAACAAACTATGATTTGGACACTTTCGAAGCACACTGAGTCTAAAAAAGAAAGCTCTTGTTCGCACACAAAAGAAACAATAAAAAAAATTAACAGAAGTATCTTGTCAGACATTTTTTGATGGAACATATATTAGAAAAGTATTACTGCCCAACTACACAACTAATATATAAGTAGTAATGGATAGCAGCTCAGATTTGAGGAATCGGAGAGCCAGGTTCGAATTCATGTTGAGTTCAATGCATTCACTTATGTGCTAATACTGTTGGGAAAGGTATGAATCTGAATCTTTTCTCTTTTGCTATGGGTAAATCGCAGGACAAACTGGATCCTATAGCCTTGAGTAGCAGCTGGTCTAATAGGAAGACAACACTGTATTCAAACCATGAGTGTTGTTGTTTGGTGACCTTGTGGCATACTGTACACCAGTTCTGTGTGTTTGGCTCTTCCAAAAGTATAGTTGGTTATGCAAAAGCCTTCACCATTATAATCAAAGCATATGTGTGGGTAGTCTGTTTCATTCTAAGAATTGAGTTTCTGACTCCTTAGATGTCAAAAAACGTTAGTAGAGTCCTCTCTCTCTAAATACACACACACACACACACTCACATGTATATTTGTGAGTGTGGATAAGTGTAGTTGTGCTTATGAATGATACAGATGAAATTTCAAACTGTGTTTAAACTTCTCTGATTTTCTTTTTTTTTTTTTCTTCCTTCTTTATTTATAATCATTTCACCCCAAACAAGGCAGGAATGCCACAAGTATGCAAGGGAGGGGTTACAGGGAGTGAGAGAAAAGACTGAGTATAGAGAGGATTGATGACAAGATGAATAGAATTCATGAAGATAGAAGATGATGATTGATGTTGCGTTT